GGTAAGAGCCACCCCACGTCCTCCTCCTCCCCGTCCTTGAGGTTTGGGGTCGCCGGAGCCGTCCCTGCAGCACCCGAGAGGCAGAGCCCTGGCTGGGGGTTCCGTGCCTGGGGCCTGGACGGGACGGCTGTGCATGACCCGTCCCACCAGCCCAGACAGGCCAGGCGGTGTGACGGCCACAGACAGACGCGGGACCGGCCGCCTGGGCCAAAGCCCGGTAGCTGTGCGCACGGAGCTCGCGACACTCACTCAGAAACCACTGTCGGCGGGGGGTGATGCTATCGCAATGTTGTGCTATAAAATAAAGAGTCCCTGTCTTTTAAAGATTAAAAAAAGGGGGGATGGGGAAGCGGAAAAAAAAAGGAAAAAGATAAAAACAAAAGTAGCTTTTGTTAACTGGTGTGACCTTGGACAAGTCACTTCACTGCTCTATGCCTCGATTTGCCCATCTGTAAAAGGGGCGTAACCACGGTGCCCAACCTCACAGAGCTGCTGGAGACGTCGCTGGGGCCACCAAGGCACTGGGCGGCTGCGCGCGCAGGAAGCGCTGCGTGAGCGAGGGCGCGGGCCGTCACCGGCTGTTGTCACTCGGGACGGGCATTCCCGGGACAGGCGGGCGGAGACCGCCGCCAGGGTCCCGTCCTGCGAGGCGGCCACACCGGTTCAGGCCTGGGGGGCGGCCCCCACGCGTCACAGGCTCCGCCCCTTCCCGGGGAGCCGGTTGGGAAGGGAGGGGCCTTCGGCACGCAGGGCGGTGAGAGCAGGGCCAGCCGGGAGCCACAGCTCCCCAGGGCAGAGGGAGTGGCTGCAGAGGTGGGGCGGGGAGGGGCAGAGGTGGGTGGTGGTGAAGCTGGGGCTGAGCCGGGACTCGAAGGCCGCCCGCTGGGGAGAGAGGAGGGCCCGGCCGGCCCCTCCCGCCCTGTGTGCAGGCAGAGGGAGAGGGCGGGAAGCAGGGACAGGGCCACGCTGCGTGCGGGGGACACGCGCCTGCCTGGAGCGCACGGGAGGCCTGTGTCCGCCACGCCGCCGGTCCGCAGGTGGACACTGGGCGGCGCGCGCACGGCTTGGCGCGCACGGCTTGGCCACAGCACAGACCCTCGTGTGAGCTGGAGAACGGCCCTCCTCTCCACGGGACACGGGTGTCTGGCAGGCCGGGGGCGGACTGGCTCTCAGCCCTGCTCGTCCCTGGAGCAGCAGCACCCTGGTGCAGCGGGCAACCTGCACAACCGTGCGTGCCGATCACGGTCTTCTCAGTGGGCCCTGGCTGGGCGTCGGCACGGACAGCAAGCGTGAGGTGACAAAGAGGCCACCGCAGACCTTAAGGCGGGCGACAGGAGGGAGCAGCCGGCTGGTCCGGGCAGGACCCACCACCCGAGGCTGCAGCTTGGTGGGGGCTCGGCGGGTCTGTCTGCGCCCTCCCCCACACCCCAGCACTCCGGGCTCTGCGGCACCAGGGGACACGCCTGGCCAGCGTCACAGCCCCTCGGCCGATGACAGGCAGCGACCTAGGGCCGCCCCTCGCCCCACTCTCTCCAGGCCTCAGAGGGCCATGTGGACACCTGGACACCTGTCTGAACCCCGAGGCTCAGACCCTCCACGCGGGGACCCTTCTGGGGGCTCAGAGCGGCCCCTGCCCACCTGGCCCCTACGACACCCGGGACCTTTCACAAGCTCAGGACGCGGCACGTTCCGGCGCAACGTCTGTCCTTCCCGCCATCGCCAGCGACGCCAGGATGAGACCTGCCCCACCAGGGCCCACACGCTTGGCCACGCCTGGACCCCCTCTGGCCACCCTGGCCGTGACGGACCGGGGGAGGACCCCGTCTGGAAACCCGGGAGGACAGAGACCCGAGGGGAGGCTGCGGTCCCAGCCTGGAGAAGACACCACCTGGCGTCCTGACCGCCTGCTCCGCACCCGCCTCCACCGCGTCCCCACCCAAGGCGCTGCGTGCCGCGCTGCCGAGCTGGTCCGTGTCCTCCGCGGCCGAGGACAGCTCTGACGACCGGGGCTTGGGAGGGTGCGGTGGCGGGCGGGGTGGGGCCGGGTGGCATGGGCCCCACACCGGAGAGGTGGGTGCAGAAGAGCCTCCAGTTTGGCCCGGACAGCAAGAGAGGCCATCACCAAGGGCCCTGCCCTGGCTGGACGCTGTCCCCACGGGCCTGGCTTGGGGTCGCGCCTTGGGCCGTCTCCGAGGGGCTGGGATCTCAGAGCGGCGTGGGCGGCAGAGCGCTGTCCTGCGGCCACCGGGAGGACCTGGCCAGCGAACAGCCACCTGGGGACGTCAGCCAAGGGACGCCACTGAGGGCCAGCACGGGCCCTGCTCCGGGAAGCAGCCTTTCCCCGCGCTCGGCTCCCAGGACGCTGCTCCGAGTCGAGGGCTGGTCGGGGAGGCGCGACGCCCCCAGTGGGGCTGCCCAGGCAGGCGGGAGCCGGGGAGGACCCGGCCGCCTCCCGCCACATCTGGACAGCAGAGGGCTGGGCCACCCAGCTCGCCATGGGACGCCTCGGTGCGAGTCGGAAAAGGGAGGCGACGTGGTGCCTTCCGGATGCTTCTGAGCCAGGGGACGCGGCCGGACCCGGCGCCAAAGGCCGTCCACAGCCGGGGCGTCATTCCCGCCCTTCCTCTTGCAGACGTGGACGAATGTCAGCAGAGCCCCAGAGTCTGCGGAAGCCTCGGTGTCTGCCGCAACACCCTGGGTAGCCACGCCTGCCACTGCCCGCCCGGCTTTGCGCTCCAGCCCCGGGACCCAAAGCTCTGCGCAGGTAGAGGCCCGGGAAGAGGCCCCCAGGCCGGAGCCGGCGGGTCCTGCAGCCCAGGAGGAGGGGAAGACGAGCACGCTCTCCCAGGGTCACGGGCGCCCAGGGAGTCGCCTCCCAGGAAGGTCCCCACGGGGCAGGGAGGGGCAGGGCCTCTGGGCCTGGAGTCCCCTCGTGGAGCCCGCAGACTTCGCCCCTTCCTCATGCCTCTCGGGCGAGTGGAAGAAGGCGTCACCTCGGTTCTGAGGAGGGGAACCACGGCCATGGTCAGGGAGGGAGCGGTCAAGAGCCTAAAAACTGGGCACCATGGTCCCTGCTGTGCCCATCTTGCAGGGAGGCCACCATACGCTGCTTTGAAGGTGAAGCTGAAGGTCACCAGGTGGCGGCACCTGCACTGACGGCCCTGGGTCTGGGTGTGGAGAGATGGGGAGGGGCGCACTGAGGGGAGGGCAGGCCTCCGCCTGCCAGGGGCAGGCTCTGACCTCCGGCTTTGTCCTCAGACGTAGACGAATGCGCTTTGGGACAGCACCAGTGCCACAACTCCACCCTCTGCCTCAACAACGTGGGCGGCTACGAGTGCCGGTGCCGCCCGGGCTGGAGGCCGGTTCCCGGGTCCCCCGACGGCCCGACCGACACCGTCTGCGCAGGTGCGCGGCCTGACCCCACGGCGCAGCCCGGTGCCCGCTGGCTCACGCGTGTGCACCGAACACCCGGCTCCATGCCAGCCACCTTTCGTTCTTTGGAGACTTGATGTGAAAAGATCTGGGGTCCTGGGGGAGGGGCTGGTGCTGGCGGGGAGGTCGGGGGATGAGGGTGGCAGCCGATGAGCTGGGAGGCGACGTTTCAGCGTGTGCACGGCTGCGCGTCTGCACGACCCGCCGCACTCAGGCCTTTCCGTGCCCCGAGAGCCAGAGTCTCCACTCCCAGGGGCGCCGACAGCGGGAGGAGCGAGGAGGGTGCGGACAAGAGCGAGGACCCTCTGGGGGCTGGGACAGGGCCTGACCCGCTTCTCCGGGTCCGCAGACGTGGACGAGTGCAGCTCCGGGCAGCACCGCTGCCACCCGTCGACCTTCTGTGTCAACGCCGTGGGGTCGTACACGTGCCGCTGCCGCCCAGGCTGGAGGCCCAAGCCGGGGGTCCCGAACAACCAGAACATCACAGTCTGCCAAGGTAGGTTCTGACCCGACCCGAGAACCTCCCCCCAACACGCACGACACCCCCAGCCTGACGGGCCGCTGTCTGTCCCCGCAGAGACGCCCTTTACCAACTGGACCGAGCCGCCGCCGGGCATCCGCAGCCAGGTGAGCGCCCAGCAGGGACGGGGGGCAGACAACGCCCCACAGCCCAGGATTTGGTGTGAGCGCCCTACCCACCCGGGAGAAGCTCTAACGCCCTCTTCTCTCCTCTCCCAAGAGTCTGTCTCGCTTCTTTAACAAAATCCAGGATCTGGACAGAGACTTCAAGCCAGACTCAGCCCAGAAGACCGTGGAGGTGAGGACAGGAGGAGGTGGCCCGCAGAGGACAGGGCGGGAAGGAGACCGTGCGGCCGGCCCCGCGCTGCCGCCCTGCCTCCCCCAGGGCTGGGGAGGAGCGGCCTCGCTGGCGGTCCTGCTGTTAGACGGCTGCTGTCTCTCCTCTCCCTGCTCCTGGGCGCAGAGCTGACGTCATCGCCGACGTGTCAGAGGAGGGCTGGTTTCTAAGGGGCTGTGCTCCTGGGCGCAGAGCTGACGTCATCGCCGACGTGTCAGAGGGGGGCTGGTTTCTAAGGGGCTGTGCTCCTGGGCGCAGAGCTGACGTCATCGCCGACGTGTCAGAGGAGGGCTGGTTTCTAAGGGGCTGTGCTCCTGGGCGCAGAGCTGACGTCATCGCCGACGTGTCAGAGGAGGGCTGGTTTCTAAGGGGCTGTGCTCCTGGGTGCAGAGCTGACGTCATCGCCGACGTGTCAGAGGAACGGGCTGTGCTCCAGGGGCAAGGACCACCCAGAGCCACCTTTGTCCCCAAACAGCCTCTGGGGTCTGTTCTGTGGGGTGAGTGGTTCGGATGGTCATGCAGCCCCTGCGGCCTGTGGCCCACTGGCACCCTGTCCCCATGCCCCCAGGAGCTCATGGAGAATGTGCACGAGCTGCTGGAGACCCCTGGGGACCTGGAGACCCTGCTCCGCACACAGCAGCACTGTGTGGCCGGCCACCTGCTGGTTGGGCTGGAGGACGTCCTGAGACGACTGAGCAAGTCCCTGCCCGATGGGCCACTGACCGTCAGTTGCCCTGCAGGCACAGGTACGCACCCGGGCGCCCCAAGGCCCCCTGCCTCCCTCCTCGCTCAGTCCCACTACAAAGCAAAGGACTAGAAAGAAATGCATAAATATGTAGACAATACACATTTTGATTGTAACATAGGTGGTCAGCAGCAAAATAATTACAATGAAGAACTCAGCAAAATAGAAACAGCTTCCGAAGGAAACAATTTATTTAATTTGGAAGAATATAAATTATTTGACAGATAAGTGTGATGTTTCGTAGAGGTAAAATTCACATAAGATTCACCATCGTAAAGCGTGTGCTTCGGTAGACTCTAGTACGTTCACAAAGTTGTACAACCATCTCCTCCACGTCTAAAACGTTTCCATCACCCCGAAAGCAAACCCTGTACCTGCCAAGCAATCACAACTCATTCCTCTGTTCCCCCAGCCCTGGCAGCCACTGATCTGCTTTCTCTGCCTATGGATTGGCCTAATCAGGATATTTTATATTAATGGGATCATACAATACGTGACCTTTTAGTCTAGCTTCTTTCACGTACTATAACATTCGTGGGGTTTATCCATATCATAGCACGTGTAAGTATGTCCTTCCTTTTCAGGGCTGAATACTATTCCATTGTACAGATATACCACACCGTGTTTCTCTCTCCATCCATGATAGACGTTTGGGTTGCTTCTACCTTTGGGCTATTGTGAATAGTGCTGCTATGAATACTGGTGTACAGGAATTATCTAAATACCTCTTTTTGGTTGTTTTGAGTATATACTTAGGATAGAATTGCTGGGTCACATGATAATTCTATGTTCAACTTTTCCAGAAACCACCAAACGTTTTTTCCCAAGTGGCTGCACCATTTTACATTCCCGCCAGAAACACATAAGGGTTACAATCTCCACATCTTCGGCAAAACTTTTTACTTTTACTTTGTTCGTTTTTATTAAGGCCTTTTTAGTGTATGTGAGGTCATATCTCATTATGCCTTGGATTTGCACTTTGCTAATGACTAATAATGTTTAAAATCATTTCATGTGCTTGTTTGCCATTTGTGTATCTCTTCTGGAGAAATGTCTACTCGAGTCCTTTGCCATATTTTTTAATTGAGTTGTCTTTTGGTTGTTGAGTTGGAAGAGTTCTTTTCATATTCTGATAGTAGACCATTATGACACATGTCATATGCAAATGTTTTCTTCTGTTCTCTACATTGTTTGTTCACCTTGGTCTTTGCACTTTAATGAACAGAAGTTTTAAGGATCAATCTATTTTATGTTTTTGCCTTTCTATTGCTTATGCATTTGGCGTCCTATTTAAGAATTTGCTGTCAAATCCGAGGCCAGGAAGATTTATTACTGTGCTTTCCCCAACATGTTTTAGTTTCCTAAATTTAGGAATCTTTGACCTATTTTGAGTTAATTTCTGTGTATCGTGTGAGGTAGGGGTCCACTTTCTCTCTGTTGCCCGTGCCTATCCAGTAACCCCAGCACCATTTGATGAAGAGAATAGTCTCTCCCCCGTCAAATAGCCTTGGCACCCTTCGTTGAGAATCAACTCGCCATTGAAGTCTGGGTCCATTTCTGGAATCCCAGTTCTGTGCTGCTGGTCCCTGTGTCTGTCTTTATCCCAATACCGTATCGTTTGCATTACTGTAGATTTGCGGTGCATTTTGAAATCAGATAGTAATAAGTCCTCCAAATTTGTTGTCCTCCAAGATTGTTTTGGGTGTCTGGGTCCCTTGCAATGCCACATGAGTTTTAACATGAGCTTTTCTATTTTGACAAAATAATAGAGGTTGCGGGGAGAGTGATAAGGATTGCATTGAATCCATAGACCAATTTAGGGAGTACTGTCATCTTAACAATATAAAGTCTCCCAATCTATGCACACAGGATGTCTTTTCATTTATTTAGGGTGTTTAATTTCTTTCAAATTCTTCTGCACTTTGCTGTGTTACAAGTCTTGAGCCTCCTTGGTAAATGCATTCCTAATATTTTGTTGAGGATTTTGTTCATCTATGTCTATAATAGATATTTGTGTATAGTCGCCCTGTGAACCCTTTATCTGGTTTTATTATTAGAGTAATATTGATGTCATAGAATTATCTAGGCAGTGCTCCCTCCTCTTCTATTTTTTGGAAGAGTTGACAAAGAGTTGAAATGTTTATTCTTCCTGAAGTGGCTGGTAGAATTCACCAGTGAAGAAGCCCTCTGCTCTGGGCTGTTCATTCGGGATGTGTTGATAACTGATTCAATCTTTTTACCTGTTACAGGTCTGTTCAGATTTTTTTATTTGAGTCAGTTTTGGTGGTTTGTGTATCACTAGGTATTTGTTCCTTTCATCTAGGTCATTTAACTTGTCGTTGCAGAATTGTTTATACTATTCTTTTATAATGCACTGCAACTTCAGTCTACGTATGTGTGTGTTCATATATGTATATACACACACACACACATAAACATAGAAGTAATCATATGTCACCCACTGCAAGCAAAATTCCTAACGTAACTTCCCTTATATAAGCCCCACCACTCACAGAACTGTCCCTGAAGGTACTGAAGCAAAGAGATGGAAATGTCACCTTGAGTCAGACTCAGGCAAAGATGCAGCTGAACTGGACTCTGGCACAGAAAGTTGGTGACACAGGTAATGGCTGAGATGAGTACAAGGTTAGTGAGGCTTCATGGTGGGACAAGTTGCCCAAGGATATGGAAAAAAAGAGATTTAAAGATTAAAGGGACGTGTGGGGTGAGTGGCGCCCCAAGAGGAGAGTTCATATGAGGAGGAAGAGGCCCTGCTGGGGACCCAAAGACTTAACCTTGGCCTTGTCCTGCAGGCCCTTCTGTGGTGGGCCTTGTCTCCACTCGAGGGATGGGCAAGTTGCTGGCTGAGGCCCCCCTGGTCCTGGAGCCTGAGCTGACGGCTCTGCAGGAGAGACACAAGGGCTGGCTGCAGGACGCCCACCCCACCCTGCTCTCATATGTCAGCTCTGCCTTTCTGAGCAACAAGGACACCCAGAACCTCAGCTCCCAAGTGACTTTCATCTTCTCCCACCTCGTGAGTGCTGGTGGGGTGACGTGGCAGGAGCCTGAGTCCTGGGCACAGCCTTGCTGCTCGGCTCAGCCTGGGGGGTAAGGGGGGCTCCGCCACAGGTGCAAAACCTCCCTTGCAAAATCGGCCCTTCTCAAGTCAGCTTTGGGTCTAAATCTCTGAGTATCTGAATCACCAGCTCACACCTGTGCCCTGTACCTACAGTCGTCGGTGATTCCTGGGCCAAGGCAGAAGGTGTTCTGTGCTTTCTGGAAGCCCGATCAGAAGGGATATGGTCATTGGGCCACCACAGGCTGCAGGATGCTGGACCTCAGAGACACCAGCACCACCTGCCACTGCTCCCACCTCAGCAGTTTCGCCGTCCTCATGGCCCACTACCACGTGCAGGTGAGAGGAGCTGTACTCTGCGTGTGTCTCTGTGTGACACAGTCCCACAGTTGTGGCAGGTTATAAACAACCCATATTTATTATCCCACAGTTTCAATGGGTCAGCAGTCTGGCGTGGCAAGATAGCTTCTCTGCTCAGTCTCACAAGACTGAATTTGTCGTGTCAGCTGGGGTTGGGCCCCATTTCATGTGAGGCTTGAAGTCCTCCTCCAAGCTCCCTGGTTGCTGGCAGAATTCAATTCCTTGTGGCTGCAGGACTGAGGTCCCACTTTCTTGGTGGCCGTCAACAGGGAGCCACGCTCAGTTCCTGTGGGCCAGTCACATTCCTTCTCCCGTGGCTCCCTCGCCAAGTGCCAGCGTTCCTGTCTGGAGGCCAGTGGGAAAACATCGATCATATGGAAGCCCTCTCCAACTTCGAATCTAATATTTTCATTCCCTCGTGGTTTTGCGAACATTTGCAGAAAGGGGGGGAAATGTGAAGTTTAAGCCACTGCCAACAAGGAACAGGGGGTGCCAGGATGAGGCGAGCGGAGTCTGGGATGGGGAGTAGATGCCAGGTCATCGAGGTCCAAGTCTGCCACACCGCATCACATAATGGGGACAGAAGAGAGTGTTCAACAAGAGGCTTCACACCTGCACGGGCCTCCCACGTCAACCTATAAGCTCAGTTACGCACAAAAGTCAAGAGGAAAACAAACCCTTGTGAGTTCCATGGCTCCGTCGTGAGGAAGGGCTCTCTTTTTCTCCCTCAGTCCTCCCAGGGGCTGAATTCAGCAGTTCAGAACCCTGTAAAATCATAAATTTCCAAACCTAGATTAACTTGCCCATCAACTCACAAATATTCCTGGCTCTTCCATTCCTGAATTTGCTAAGCCAAAAAAGAAAAGAGATAAAAATGGCAGTGGGGGTCATTGCCCCAGAGGAGGAAATTATGATCTTAAACCTTTCTTTCCTGGGTGGCAGGAGGAGGACCCCGTGCTGGCCGTGGTCACCTACGTGGGGCTGGGCCTCTCGCTGCTGTGCCTCCTGCTGGCGGCCCTCACCTTCCTGCTGTGCAGAGCCATCCAGAACACCAGCACCTCCCTGCACCTGCAGCTCTCGCTCTGCCTCTTCCTGGCCCACCTCCTCTTCCTCACGGCCATCGACCGGACGGAGCCCCAGGTACTGGCGGTGGTGTTCCCGAGGACTCCCTCCCTTGCCCGGGGATGCCGCCTCGAGGGCTCACGCTGCCTTCCGTGCCTTCCCACGACGGCCCTGAGTCCTGGGGAAGGCCAGAGGAGGAAGCTGCCAATTTCACATTGCCTTATTCAACTAGAAAACATGTCGTCTCTCTCCCTCTCTCCCTTTTAACTATACCCCTTGTCAGCAGGAAGAAAATAAATCATCTCTTTGCAGCTCCATTAGACATATCAGAATTCTCCCCGGTGGCAGGTTCAGGAGAGGTCCTGGCCACACTCAGACCTGACCGCGTCCCCAAGTGTCTCTTGCTCCTCCCCAGGCGCTGTGTGCCCTCGTCGCCGGCGCCCTGCACTACCTCTACCTGGCCGCCTTCGCCTGGATGCTGCTGGAGGGCCTGCACCTGTGCCTCGCCGCGCGGAACCTGACCGTCGCCAACTACTCCGGCACGAACAGACGCGTGCGGAAGCTCATGTTCCCCGTGGGCTACGGGGTCCCCGCTGTGATCGTGGCCATCTCTGCAGCATCTCACCCTCACCTTTATGGGACCCCTGCCCGGTAAATGCAAATTCCCACTGTCCTCGTCTTCTCTAGCACACGAATGGCCATGACTAGAACAGACGTGGCATTTTGACTAGGCCAGAGCATAATATGCAGAGACACACTAAGTAGTAATCCCTAAGTCTAAATTACTCTAATCTTTTGGTAGAAAATCATAATAAATAAGGAGAATGTATTTAAATCTCTGTCCTCAAAGCATGAAATAAGAAGAAGTGCTCAAGACATTTTTTTTTGTTTCGTTTTAAATCTACTCTGCTTCATCCAAATCTTATAGGATGCTCCAGTTTTTAATTTGGAAAAGTGGACCTGATTTAAATAACCAAAATAACTGATACTGTCATAGTTAAGATTTATAAGGTACTTTGTGTCAGGCACTTTTCTAGCTTTTTTTTGGTTCATTTTTTGCCTAATGCAGTGGCTAAACTTCCAGCACAACAATGACTGGAAAAGCAGATGGTTTTTTCTTGTTCCTGAACTTAGGGAGAAACATTCAGCCTTTTCCACTGAAGTACCATGTTAACTCATGACTTTTCATACATACCCTTTTTCGGGTTAAGAAAATTCTATTTCATTCCTAGTGTGTTGGATGTTTCTATAACAAAAAAAGGTTTGAGTCTGTCAAAGACTTTCTACTCAGATGATCACATGATTTTTATCCTTTATTTCATATGTTTTATGCTAAACCTGCCTTATGTTCCTGGGATAATTACCCCTTGATCATGGTATACTATCCTTTCTATATGTTGTAAGATTCGGTCTGCTAGTATTTTGTTCAGGATTTTCACATTCATATTCATAAGTGTATTGGTCTACAGTTTTCTTTTCTTGTGATGTCTTTTTCTGGTTTGGTATCAGGACAACACTGTGCTCAGAAAATAATTTGGGAAAATAGAACAGTTCCCTCCTGTTCTATAATATTTTTGGTTTTGTGAAGAATTGACATTAATTCTTTAAATTTTTGGTGAAACTCTCTGCAGCCATTTTGGCTGGGGCTTTCATTTATTGAAAGTTTTTAAATTATTAATTCAATTATAATTTGAATTATTATTCTCTTTGCTTGTTATCGGTCTATTCAAATCATCTATTTCCTCTTGAGACAGTTTTGGTAGTATGCTTTTCTAAGAATTTGTCCATTTTATGTAAGTTATCCAATTTGTGGTCATCAGGTTGTTCCTAGTTCCTTATTATCTTTTTTTATTTCTATTAAGGTTAGTATGGATGTCCTCTCTTTCATCTCTGATAATATTGAGTTTTCTTTCTCTATTTTTCAGTCAGGCTAAATGCTTGCCAATTTTGTTTATCTTTACAAAGAATTTCCATTGTTTCATGTTTTTCTAAAAACTCTTTGATTCTCTGTAGCATTTAGTTCGTCTCTAATCTTCATGTCTATCTTTCTGCTTGACTTGGGTTTAGTTTGATTTTCTTTGTCTAGTTTCTTGAGAAGAAAGGTTAGATTGTCAATTTAGAATTTTTATTCTTTTATGATGGCCAGATGCGGAAACTCACACCTGTAATCCTAGCACTCTGGGAGGCTGAGGTGGGAAGATCAATTGAGCTCAGGAGTTCAAGACCAGCCTGAGCAAGAGCGAGACCCTGGCTGTACTAAAAATAGAAAAATTCACCAGATGTAGTGGTGCCTGTAGTCCCAGTTACTGAGGAGGCTGAGGCAGGAGAATCACTTGAGCCCAAGAATTTGAGGCTGCAGTGAACTATGATGACACCACTGCACTCTAGCCCGAGCGACACACTAAGACTTTGAGAAAAAAATGTTTAACTCCTTTCAAGATAGCCATGAATAGCTAAGAATTTCCCTCTAAGCACTGCAATAGCTGTATCCTGTAAGTTTTGGTATCTTGTATTTTATATCTGCACTCAAAGTATTCTCTAACTTCCCTTATGATTTCTTCATGAACCTATTTGTTATTTAGGACAATGTTGTTTAATTTCTACGTATTTGTAAAGTTCGCAAATTTTCCTCTGCTGTGGATTTCTAATTTCATTCCATTGTGGTCATAAAAATAAATTTTATGATTTCAATCACTTTATTTATATTGAGGCTTCTTTTAATGCCTAACATATGGTCTATCCTGGAGAATATTTCTTGTGTTCTTGAGAAGAATGTATTTTTCTATTGTTGAGTGGAGTGCTCTGCACGTATCTATTAGATCTAGTCATTGTGTTGTTCAAGGATCCAATTTTCTTGTTGATTTTCTGATCAGTTGATTCAACTGATTTTCTTGTCAGTTATTGAGAGTAATGTTGTATTAGTTTCCTGGGGTTGCCTTCACAAGTTACCACAAATTTGGTGGCTTCAAATAACAGAAATTTGTTTTTTCACAGTTGTGGGAGCCAGAAGTCCAAACTCGAGATGGTGGCAGAGCCACAATGCCTCTCAACATTCTAGAGGACAATCTTCCTTGCTTCTTCTGGCTTCTGGTGGTTCCAAACACTCCTCAGCTGGAGGGTGTGTAACTCCAGTCTCTACCCCTGTCTTCCAGTGGCCTACACCCCCATGCCCTTTATTACTGGTGCTCTTTGTTTCTTGCATGGATTCAAGTTACTGTCCAGGGTCCTTTCATTTCACCCTGAAGGAATCTATCTAGTATTTCTTGTAGGGAAAGTCTACTCGCAAAACTTTCCTTTTTAATTTAGTTTGAAATATCTTAATTTCTTCTTCAGTGTTGACAGATAATTTAGCTGCATATGGAAGTCTTAGTTGACAGTCTTTTTCTTTGACACTTTAAAAGTGCCATCCCAGTAGTTTCTAATCTCTATGGTTTCGCAAGAAGGCATTTTTGAATTATTTTTGTGGATCTCTTGTATGTGACAAATGAGTTTTTTCATTTGCTGCCTTTGAGATTTTCCTCATTTTCTTTGACTTTTGTGAATAAGAATATGATGCATCTGCATGTGGATCTCCTTGAACTTACTCTATGTGCAATTTGTTGAGCTTGTTTAGTGTGTAGACTAATATGTTTGTTCAAATTTGGGAAGTTTTCAGCCGGTAATTCTTTTTTTTCTTTTCTTTTCTTTTTTTTTTTTTTTTTTTTTTTTTTTTTTTTTTTTTTTTTTTTTTTTGCCCTTTCACTTTCTCTTATTCTGAGACTCCGATTATGTGTGTGTTGCTATGTTCAATCCTGGGTTATAGTTCTCGTAGGTTCTGTTACTTCTTCTTCATTTTGTTCTCTTTCCTATAGTTAGACTGCATCCTTTCTATGAACCTATATTCAAGTTTGTGGATTCTTTCTTTGACCAGCTTAAATCTCCCGTTGAGCCTCTCTGGTGAATTTTGAATTTAAATTATTATATATTTGAACTCCAGAATTTCTATTTGGTTCCTTTTCATAAAGTTTATCCTTTTATTGATATTCTTTGGTGACATGTTATTATCATATGTTACTTTAGTTATTTAGACAAGGTTTATTTTAGTCATTTTAAGATATTCACAGTAAGAGACTTAAAGATTTGGTCTACTAAATCCCAAATCTAGGCCTCCTCAGAAATATTTTCTTTGAGCTAATTTTTTCCTGTGTATGCTGCATACAGTTCTTTTTCCTGTGTATATTTTTGTTAAAAACTAGATATTTTAGATAAGATATTGCAATACCCCTGTTATCAGATACCTTCATCCCGCCCCCAAAGTTTATGGTTGGTGAGGGGTTTTGTTGTTTCTTAGTGGCTTCTCTAGATTAATTCTGTAGATTCAATATTCCTTGAAGTGAGTGATTTTTGAGTTCCTCGCTAGCTTTTTGAAAGTTCTTGACTTTGTTTTTTATCCAAATTAATGGACACCCAATGATTGGTCACAAGATTTCCTTAAATTCTTTGCCTGGATGTTTTGCACTCTTTTTCTTCAAGAGCATCTGTGTGAGAAGCCACATCTTCAAACTTCAGAACATTCACAGTGGACTCTGAGCTTTCACATTCACATTAAGACACCATGAACTCCCCACTCCCTAGTCTTACTTAGCAAGGCTCAGTAGTTTCTCCTGGAGAGACTATTTTCAGTGGGTTCTCTGGGTTTAGGTAATTTCCAGTGTTTGGGGATGCACGGCTTTAGCTTTGTAATTTTGTTTTAGAAAAAGAGCAAGTTCACCAAGATTCTCACACCTCCATTCAGTAAGTCAATCTCCTGGATTTTCACTTTTAACCACAACATTCTGCCAAAGTTTATGTTCACCTGCGTCAACTGAGCTCTTTCTAGGTGTCCTTCTTGCATACATTCTTCTCCATGTACACTACAGTTGCCCTGACACGTCCTACCACATGCTCCTTGCCCTGAAATATTCTGCCTCAGTCTCCCCTTTTCCCTAACACAGGGCCACGAGTCAGGTCTGTCAACGTCTATCAGAGAACCTCGAGCAACAGACTTCAGCTCTCAGTCACCAATCTGTGATCATAAGAGAACCTCTCTTTTGCACTGTTGTTAAAAAATTAAATTGAAAAACTCTATAAAGACAAATAACTCAACTTAAAACGGATAAAAGATGTGAACAGACATTACTCCAAAGAGATGTGAATGACCAAGCAGTGCCGAAAACTGCTCAACATCATTAGTCATTAGGAAAATCCACATCGAAAGCCACACGAGGAGATCACTTCCCACCCATTGGAATAGTTAAAATTAGAAAGACAAAATAATGGTGAGGACGCGAAGAAATTTAAATCCTTGAACAATGCTTGTTGGAATGTAGAATGGTGGGGCCATTTCAGAACACAGTTTTACCTACAATATGACCCAGCAATTCTATTCCTAGGTATATAGCTAAGTCAAGTGAAAACATATATCCACACAAAACTTTGTACATGGACTGGGCACAGTGGCTCGCATCTGTAATCCTAGCGCTCTGGGAGGCCGAAGCAGGAGGATTGCTTGAGCTCAGGAGTCCAAGACCAGTCTGAGCAAGTCCATGTACCTCATATGTACAAGTAAGAGAAAATGTGACTGGGTGTGGTGCCCATGCCTGTAGTCCCAGCTACTCGGGAGGCTGAGGCAGGAGGATCGCTTGAGCCCAGGAGTTTGAGGTTGCTGTGAGGTACGATGATACCACTACACACTAGCTGGGACAACAAAGTAAGACTCTGTCTCCAAAACAAATAAAAACAAGCAAAGAAACAAAAACCTCCAAAACCAAACTTTGTGCGTGAATGCTCATAGCACCAGTATTCAAAATAGCCAAACCTGGAAACAACCTAAATACCCATTACTGATGAATGCATAAACGAAATGTGGTATAGCCATATAATTGGATATTATTCAGTCATAAAAAATAACTTTCTAAAGATTATTCAGCCATGTAAAAATGCTGTAATATGGATAAGACTTCAAAATAGTATGCTAATTGAAGGAATTCAGCAATAAAAGACCAAATATTATATGATTCTATCTATATGAAATGTCCAAAATGGGCAAATACGTAAGGACAGAAAGTAGATTCATAGTGGCCTCAGTCTGGAGTAGGAGATGGAATGTATGTGTAATGTGTAAAGTTTCTTTTTGAAAACTCAGAAATACTCTAACATTAGATTATGGTGGTTTACTGCACAAGTCTGTATATTCAAAAAAAAAAAAAACCCCACTGAACTGTACAGTTTAACCCTTTGCACTCAGATGTCGAGTGTGACTCGACCGGTTAGCAAAAATTATAGAGATTAAAATTACTCTTTGAATGTATCAATAATCTGAAATATAAAAAAAGCCAAATAAATAAGTTTGTATGAAAAGAAACTCCAGTTTTTTATTCTACTGCCACGCTTTGTAAAATCTGGGGTATTTAAAAAATTAAATCCCAAGTAGAATAAAGTAATCGAGAAAAAAGTGCAAAGGGTTAAATGACTGGGTTTTGTGGTATGTAAAATATATCTCAACAAAGCAAGAAAAACTTTAAACTCAGTAGATCAGTTTTACAGCAGATAAAAACATTAAATCAAATAGTGCAAGAAAGAACCCTTACAATCATGTTAGGTTTACAGGACTCTCAAAAACAGTTAACACATTTACATACTTCTCCCTGCCTCAATGCTGTTTATCTGGGTAACATCTACTCACTTTTCATGTCTCAGATAATATATAATTTACTTGGCGAATCCTCCTTAACATCCTAATCCCACAGACCCCAAACTAAGTATGACATCCAATGGTACGATGATACATTCTGATAGCCTTCAACTTTTGTTTTATTGTTACAATGTGTCTAATTGTGTGTATCCTTCCTGAGTTGAGATTTGTGGGATTTAAGAACATGTTTATTATTATTATTTCAGCATCTTGGGGGAGGAGTACAAATGATTAGGTTACATATATTGCCTTTGCCCCAGTTCTATCCAAGATAATACAAGAGATGCTAGATCACTATTGTGTTTATGGCCTGAGTAGAACTCTGTGGTATACATACATCACATTTTATTAATCCACTCATGTATCGATGGGCACTTGGGTTGTTTCCACATCTTTGCAGTTGTGAATTATGCTGCTATAAACATTCCAGTGCAGGTATCTTTTCTTCCTTTGGGTAGATGCCCAGTAATGGACTTGCTGGATCAAGTGGTAGTTCTACTTGTAGTTCTGACCATGTTTCTTAAACCCCTGCATCTTCAGAGCCTACCACAGAGGACACACACAATATTTATTGATGAAGGAAGGAAGAAACTGGGGAGGCGGGAGGGAGTGGATTTACATCACTGTTCCATATCTCCAAGGACCAATGCACTTTTTATTCTCTCTCTTGCTCAGCTGCTGGCTCAACCCAGAAAAGGGATTTATATGGGCGTTCCTTGGACCGGTCTGTGCCATCTTCTCTGTAAGTGATGTCATCCGAGCATTCTCACTGCCCAGCAGAGGGTCATTAGAAGAACAGGATCAGAAGCATGGTGACAAGAGCAGGAATGCCCCTGGTGGTCACGGGTTGGCTTAGGTTTTCTAAGACTGCTCTTAAATCTTCAAACTCTAACATTGTTACTCAATATTTAAAAACCAGCTAAGTGTATAATTGATGTTGGACAGGCTAGGATGAAGAGATAACAGTATTAAATTTTATTCACTAAACCTTCTGTGGTTTCCTGAAGGTAAATTTGGCTTTCTTTCTGATGACCCTCTGGATTTTGAAAAGCAAACTCTCCTCTCTCAACAGTGAAGTGTCAACCCTCCAGAACACAAGGTGAGTTGGAGAAGAGGGTGACAGCCACACAGACACATATGGTTCCCAAGAGCAAACCCATGTGCCCTGATGTCACTTCTCGGGGTCTTCTGAGGAGACCCAAAGTAAACAGATGCAGCCGTCCTTCTATAGCAACCACCTCAAACCCAGTGGTCTAATGCCGACACCCCCTGCAAAATGTTCCGGCCATCTCTAGTCCCAGCTTGGGATTCTCTCAGCAGCAGGAAGAATTGACATCAGTTGGAAAATGGTAGATATATACAATGCAATACTATTTGGCCATAAAAAGAACAAAATAGTGTCATCTGCAGCAACATGGATGGAACTGGAAGGCATTGTGTTAAGTGAAAGAAGCCAGGCAGACAAATACAAATATCACATGTTCTCACTCATATGTGGCCGCTTAAATAAATTGATCTCAGGCTGGGATGATGGCTAATGCCTGTAATCCTAGCACTTTGGGAGGCCAAGATAGGAGGACTGCATTAGGCCAGGAGTTTGAGACCAACCTGAGCAAGAGGGAGACCCCATCTTTACAATAATTAGAAAAGTTCACCGGGCGTGGTGGCGTATGCCAGCAGTCCCAGCTACTCAGGAAGCTGAGGCAGGAGGATCACTCCCGTGAGCTAGGATGACGCCACTGAACTCTAGCCTGGGTGAGAGTGGAACCCTGTCTCAAAAAAATAAAGTTGATCTTTTGGAGGCAGAGAGTAGAATGAATGATACAAGAGGCTGGGAAGGGTGTGGGAGCAGTGGCAGATGAAGAGAGGTTGGTCCATGGGTACAAACATACAGTTAGATAGAAGGAATACGGTCCAATGTTCGATAGCGGAGTAGAGTGACGATGTATCACGTATTTCAAAATAGCTAGAGGAGATGACTCGGAATGCCCCCAGCACATAGCAATGATAGACACTCGAGGTGATGGACACCCTAAATACCCTGACTCAATCATTGCACATTCTACGCATGTAACAGAATCTCACATGTACCCCAAAAATGCATACAAATATGGTTCAATTAAAAAAAATAAAAGGTAAACAATAAACATTCTTTGGACTTTTGTCAGCAGTCCTATGACAAAAGGGCAAAGAATATTTATGTCTTCATGGCTGTTCCTACACACAGCCTGTACTTTCATGCCCTACCCTCAGTTCCAGCTCCCTCTCACCCCTCAAGCAATCCTCCTCCTGAAAAATTGTAGTCAACATCAAATCATCTTGGAGGCTTGGGCAGTCTTTTGCTGCAGGCGCCCTTGTGCAAAATTAAATGTTCTTTCTCCTAGTTCCTACCATTATCCTTTCCAAATTTTGCACATCATTCTTTGGCTGTACTACTCATTTGAAGAGACTGTGAACTTTATGAAAATGGAAATCTTCCCTTTGTTATGAATATTTATGATGCCCGGGCTCTAGCACAGAGCCATGTGCACAGTATATGCTCTTTAATGTTGGTTAAGCAAAATTAGGGATCTCCATAAGGCATCAGAAACTTTTGAGATGTTCATTATGAAGTGTGACTCTCTTCCTTGGTCCAAGTCAAAATGCCTCCCTGGACCCAAGTGGCATTTATACTGTAGGGTATCACAGACAGACCACATTCAGTCTCAGAAATCACCTACAGGCGACAGTGTGGCACCCACAGACGGAGGTGAGAGTAGCCTTCATTCTGTTCCTCTGGGTGTATCACGGGCCTCCTTTCTCATCCACCCCAGGATGCTCACATTTAAAGCGACGGCTCAGCTCTGCATCCTGGGCTGCACGTGGTGTCTGGGCATGCTGCAGGTGGGCCCAGCTGCGCAGGTGATGGCCTACCTCTTCATCATCATCAACTCGCTGCAGGGCGTCCTCATCTTCCTGGTGTACTGCCTCCTCAGCCAGCAGGTACCCCTGCCCCGCTCCCACCAGGGACTGTTCCTGCCCTCGCCCCTCTCAGTGAGCTGACTCAGAACATGTCTTGTCTCTGCAGGTCCGGGAGCAATACAGGAAATGGTTCAAAGGGATGAGGAAATTGAGAGCTGAGTCTGAGGTGTACATGATTTCCAGCAGGGCTACATCTGCTGACACCTCTAGTCCCAGCACGGTAAGAACACGCACTGCTCCCCGAGCACAGCACTAACTGGTCCACCGGGGCAGCACACACCTAGCATGCTGGCCGACCTGGGCGGACCGCAGGTGATGGCTCACACTCAGATGGCTCCTGGACTCACTAACCACTAGCAACGGTCTCAGTGTAAATGTTTGCTTTTTTAAAGATCCTTTACTTTTACTCCTTAGGGAACTGTGCTCACCTTGTCTCTGATGCATGAACATTCTTACTGAGCACCTACTATGTGCCATGCATGGGTAACTAAATAAGCAGAAATTGACAATTGAAGCAGCAGCGATGCACATTCTACTCAGAGACATATTACCCTATATTTTTTCCTCTACATACAACTCTATTCACAGTTATTGAGCACTGGCACCCCAAAGGAGGCAAATGTTGGGGAAATGTTGTGGATATTTTTAAATTTAGCTCAAGTAAGTGCTATCTGGGATTTAGGCTTTCTGGGCAAGCTGGCCAGTGGGTAGTGCATAGTGCCTCTGCTAAGCACTCTGTACCCACTGCCAAACCAGGAAGGACAAACAGTGATGGCATCAGATAACTCATGGCAACGATCACTAATAACCAACATTTACTAGTTCAGACTTACAAAGTTCTTTCAGCTACATTTTCTCACCTCTTCTTCCATCTTCTCTGGACTCTACGTATGATTACAGCCCCATATGACAGATGAGAAAAGTAGCAGCCTAGTTGGATTTATGTGAAGTATATAGGGACTCTTTACTCAGGGAGTTTTTTGGTTTTTTTGAGACAAGGTCTCACTCTGTTAGGCTGGAGTGCAGTGGTGGCATCATAGCTCACTGCAGCCTCAAACTCCTGGGCTCAAGTGATCCTCCTGCCTCAGCCTCCTGTGTATTTAGGACTGTAGGCACAAGCCACCATACCTGGCTAATTTTTCTATTTTTGGTAGAGATGGGGGTCTGTGTTGCCCAGGCTGGTCTCAAACTCCTAAGTTCAAGGGATCCTCCTGCCTTGACCTCTCAAATTGCTAGGATTACAGGCGTGAGCCTCTGTGCCTGGCCAAATGTCTCTTTTTAAATAAACTGTATTGTGTATATTTAAGGTTTACACCATGATGTCATGGGATACATACAGACAATGAAATGGTTATCTATATGTGAAGCAAATTAACATACCTATCCTTTAACGTAGTTATTTCTGTGGCACAAGCAGCTAAAATCTACTTTTTTTTAACACAATTTTTATTTTCTTTTTAAAACGGAACTTACAGGTTGTCTTTCTACAGTCTTACATATCATTTCTTAAAAATTATCGTTTCAGGTTGATAATGACAGAAAGAACTTCTGAACTATATCCTCTTTCTTCATGCAAAAATCTGAACATTCCGTGCGATGTTAGATGGGAAAATAGATTTTGTTGTGTGCGTTTCCAGAAATTCATCCCATCAGCGGTGGGAATGAAGTTGTGGAGGGCAGGCCTATTACTTGATTCCTGGAGGAACTGGAGTTTCTTTGTACCCTACAGTGTGCTCAGCGAACTCTCACCCTACAGTCGCCCAGCTGTCTCAGTTACTCTGGGTTAATAAGCCCTTTTCTACGGCCGCTCCTTCCTAAGAAGACTCCCCCAGATGCTAAAATTCTATAAGCAGGAAAACCAGCCTAAAAGGACTTTCAGACCAACAACATCCAAAAGACTGGAATGTTCACACCACAATCTGCATTTCTTTATTTTTTGTTCTCTATTTCTATGGGTTTAATTGTTTACTCATTCAAAAGCATTGATCACTCACCATGTCCACAGCTTAGATCAAGAGAGACACACAGGTCCAGGCTTCATGGAGCTTTCTGGGGGCATGGGCGCAAATGAAGTGATTCCTGCAGCTAGAGTGGACTCCGAGGCTGAAAGATTATTATAAATCAAGTCTCTACTGAGAGGCAACTGAAATGTAAACCAGTTTATAAGCACCATCTTCTTTCATCTTCACACCAAGACACAGATAGTTTCTAATCTCAGGTCAGGAACATGCAAAAAACTTCATTTCAAAAAAAAAAAAAAAATTACCTGTAGGACTCCTAACGGGTCCAGCTAAATGCCCTTTCCACTGTGCATTACTGCTTTCCTTCAACAGAAATTCTACAAGACCACAAAACCTTGAAGATGCACAGACAAAGGCTGATGAACTGTCAGCCTAAAAATAAAAATTAAATTATTAAAATGATAAACAGAAATATATGTGATGCCTGGAACTATAACCTCCAGCTAATAAAACCCTTCTTAACCAAGAACCAAAAAGCAAAAGTAATAAAATAAAAACTTAAAATCTTAAAACCTCTAAGTGAGACAAACACCATCATAAACAAAGCTCAAAGTCAAGTAACTAAAATATTTACATTACCTTACAAAGGATTAATATTAAGAGCATAGGATTCACTTAGACGTTTAGAAAGAACTCTGGCCAGGCGTGGTGATTCATGCTTGTACTCCCAGCACCTTGGGAGGCCAAGGCAGGACTGCTTTAACTCAGGAGTTTGAGGTTGCAGTGAGCTACGATTGACGCCACGGCACTCTAGCCCAGGAGACAGAGTGAGAGACCCTGTCTCAAAAAAAAATTAACTAATTAGTTAATAAAAATGTAAAAACTCAAGTGCCCATCAAGCCAAGAATGGATTAATAAAATGTGGTATATGTATACCATGGAGTACTACTCAGCTCTAAGAAACAATGGTGATTTAGCACATCTTATATTTTCCTGGTTAGAGCTGGAACCCGTACTATTAAGTGAAGTTTCCCAAGAATGGAAAAACAAGCATCACATATACTCACGCAAATTGTGTATTAAGCTGAACAGCACCTAAAGTGGTCACATAGGTACTGCAGTAATAGGGTATTGGGCAGGAGGGGGGGCGGGTATATACATATATAATGATGAGATGTGCACCATCTGGGGATGTCATGCTGGAGACTCAGACTTGTGGGGGCGGGGGGAAATGGGCATTTTTTGAAACCTTAAAATCTGTACCCCCATAATATGGTGAAATAAAAAAAAATGTAAATACTATTCTTACCTTATAGGCTGTACAAAAACAGGCGGTGAGCCAATTCTGACCCATCGCCCCATCGTCTCCTGACTCCCGTGTTCAGAGAAGCTCTTGACTCTACACCATTTTATTCATCCATTCATCAAATATTTGATGAGCACATAAAGACCTACCTGAGGAGATATAGTAGCTTCGTTCCAGACCACCACACAAAGCAAGTATCACAATAAAGTGACACAAAATGTATGGTTTCTCAGTGTAAATAAAAGTATTCGTACACTATACTGTAGTTGAAGTGGAAGGATGGCTGCAACCAACAGCCAGCAAGGAACCGGAGCTTGCCATCCGCCCCTGTGAGTGGGCTTGGGAGGTGAATCCTTCCCTAGTCAAGACTTCAGATGAGATCCTCGCAACAGACAACCTGACTGCAGCCTCAGGGAGCGATCCTAAGCAGAGGTCCTATGCCACCCCAGATTCCTGACACAGAGAAAGTCATATAATAAAATATGTGTTGTTTGGATGAAAAGATAAAAGCAAATGTGGTATATAAACACAGTGGAATATGACTCAGCCTTTTAAAAAGAAGGCAAGTTTGTCATTTGCAATTGGATGAACCTGAGTATGTTAGTGAACAAGGCAGGCACAGAAAGACAAGCACACCACGTGATCCCACTATACATGTTGAAATCTACAGCAAGTCTGTGATTTAAGGCAATATATAAAAGCAAATATTATATAGGACATCAGAGCTCATTTATTTCCTGCTCTGGGTGTTACAGTGTAGGAAAAGGCGTAATTACAAAAGGGAAAAGAAATTGCTTTAGGAGCTTCAGATTTTTATATCAAAAGGAAATTTTGGAATAGATTATTAGATTCAAATTGTCATAACTGATTCCACTGAGTTAAAAGAAAGCTCGATTTCAAGTCATCATTATGCCTTACTTGGTGTATTCTTTATAATAATAATAATAATAAACACTGAGCACATACTACATGCTAGTTGCTCATTTGAGTAAGAACCCTATGTGGGATATACTTTTACTACTCCAATTTAATGGATGAGGAAACAGGCACAGAAAAGCTCAGTAACATGCCCAAAGATACACAGCTAGTGAGTGATAGAACAAAATTCAAAAGTGGACATACGTAGAATGTCAAGATTCAAAGTGGACATACGTAGAATACCCAGGCAAGCTGGATCCTACATTCAGATCCAATTTACAGCTTGTTAGATTCCTGTGGTTGCCATAAAACAAATTATCACAGGCACTGTGCTCCCTCTTCACTCTGCTCAGGGACTGCTAAGTGGTGGTGAATTTCAGAGGTCCTGGTTCCAGCCCCATGCGGGTGAGAGAAAGAAGTCCACAGATACCCGTAGCCCAGTGGACTCACAGACCATGCACGCTCCACCTGGGAACATCTGCCCCGAGATGAATTCATGCACACTCAACAAGCACGTTGTAAGCTCGTTTTCTTCCCGGCACAGTGCTAGGCTTAAACGAAGTCGGACTGAACAACTTCAAGTCTCTGATCTCAGAGAACGTGCAGAAAAGAGGAAGATAAAGTCCAATCCATAATTCCAAAAAGCAGCGTGACTTAGGAAGGAAAGACCCGTTTCTGGCTTCCCTCTTGGATGTAGAAACCTAGCAGGCATTGCTGTCATCTCACAACAAGAAAAAGCTGAATAATTGACAAAAACATAACCTTTCTTGAACCCACCAGTGAGCTGAGGTCGCACGCAACCTACTGGCCTGGAATCTAGGGGAAACCTGCGGCAGCTCACCTGTAGCGGGGCACAAAGACAGAGCCACTGGACGAAAAGGGTAAAATTCTGCTAAAAATTTTAACAAACGGCTAAAAGCCAAGTGTGGGCTGGCACAAAGGGGAGAGACTCTGAGAGGCTGAGATGTAAGGGGAGTTCTCACCCTCTCCCGGGTTCTTTTCCATGGACACCTCCAGGTGCTCATGGGGAACACTGGGGGCAAAGGGGAGACGGGAGAAAGCTTCCTTCCCCCCCTCACGTTCATCAAATACACATTCTCTCTCCCAGGTTACCATAGACGGCATTCTTACCAATGGCTTCCCCACCACATAACCTTTTCCTAACCTCCAGTAGCACTTTCCTCACCCCTTTTCAGCAGCTTTCTTGCTGCTTAATTTCCAAGGCAATGCCACATTTTAAGATTTTGTGCAACTTCCATACCATTTTAAACAATAGCTGGGCTAATTCACATTCTCATCAACAGTGTGCTAAGGTTCCCTTTTCTCCGCATCCTTGCCAACATTTGCCATCTTTCATCTTTTTGACAGCACTGCGGAGAGAGCCAGACCTGCCACCTGCCACTCGGGTGACCTGGAATAACTCACCTTAACTTGCGGGGCTTCAGCTTCCTCCTCTGTGAATCGGGGATGATAACAGTACCTACCGCACAGTGTCACTACGAGGACGAAATTAAAGGATGCAGAGCTTCAGGCAGTGGCTGCCATCTGTCATCAGTAAGCTCTAAGGAAGTACTTGCTATCACCGTGATGAATGGTTGAATGCCCAGCATTAGGGAAAAAGATAGTCACTTTAAAAGACTAAAAGTACCAATGTGCTGAAAATGTATCCAGTGTCAAAATCTCTTCATTTGACAATCCATGATCATGATGGAAGAGTTTAACATCTCTCTCTCTCAATAATGACATGTCAGAGATCAAAAGTTATAAATGTGTTGGTGGTGTGTAAACACAAACAATATGCTCCACCTAGTGGACATACGTAGAATACCATACACTGATTTCAACCACCCGCAAAGTATTTATTAAAAATTGGCATATTTGGCCCGGCATGGTGGCTCATGCCTGTAATCCTACCACTCTGGGAAGCCAAGGCGGGTGGATTGTTTGAACTCAGGAATTCAAGACCAGCCAGAGCAAGAGCAAGACCCATATCTACTAAAAAAAAAAATAGAAAGAAATTACCTGGACAGCTAAAAATATATAGAAAAAATTAGCCAGACATGGTGGCACATGCCTGTAGTCCCAGCTACTTGAGAGGCTGAGGCAGTAGTAGGACTGCTTCAGCCCAGGAGTTGGAAGTTGCTGTGAGCTAGGCTGATGCCACGGCACTCTAGCCCGGGCAACAGAGTGAGACTCTGTCTAAAAAAAAAAAAAAAAAAAGGCATATGCTAAGTGCATCAGGGATTGCATTTGGCTGAAATACCCCCCCCCCCAAATGTCCAATATCAGTAAGAAATGCATTTTTTTTAATGTAACGGGACGTCCAGAAATAATCCAGGGATGGTGCAGTTACACAAAGATGCCAACACTACAAATACATTCTAATTATTTTTTAGGTTAGAGAACCAGGATGGTTGTGATTTCTGGCCACACTTTCCTTAGCCTGTGGCTTTTACTCTCCTGGCCACAGGATGGTTTCTCTGGCTCTGCACATCGTGTCTGCTTGTCGAAAAGGCAAGAAGAGATCTGGCTAAATGAACCCATTTCTGTGTAGCACTTTTCCATGGAGGCATATCCAGTGACTTCCCATATTTAGGCTTGCCAGGACTGGGGCACATGGCCTCCTGCCCTTGCTACAAGAAGGGGTGGGAGATGGAGGTGTCTGAATTATCGACCTGCACAAAAAACCCATGTTCTGTTCTAAGGGAGACACGGCAAGTTGGTCAGCAACTAGCAGGATAAGCCACACCACATCTAACAGCAAACCTCAACAAATACCTCAGATTCAATAACACAAGGGCTACATACTCTGCTCGTCATGTAATTAAATTAGAAACCAAAACAGAAAGGCAATTAAGAAACAGCCATATAACATGCAGGAACCTTCCAGAATGACAGAAACATTCTACATCCGGAATGGTGTGTTGGTTACATACATGTATACCTCTGTCCAATTCATCCAACAGTATGCTTAAAATGTATGCATTTCACTATGTCATTATACCTCTCTGAAAATATATCCATGTACTGGTATTGAAAAATCTAATTCCAAATAACGCATGGGTCAAAGAAAAAGTGATAATAGAAGTTAAGACAATACTTAGGATTAAACCAAAATGAAAACGTTATACATCAAAACGTAAGATGCTGCTAAAGGAGTACTGTGAGGAAGAGTGATAGCCCCAAATGTTTATATTTCTATAAACTGGAAGTTAATTGGCAAGGGGCCCACCATAGGAATGAGACACTGATAAAGGCAGGCCGCCGTTCCTAATGTTCTCTCTCCCCATGTGGGTCCTTTTGTGCACAGTGAGTGAGGAGCTGTGCCTGAAGGCTTTATCACACTGATTACACTGATAGGGTCTCCCCGCAGTGTGTGTTCTCACGTGCACAATGAGGTGTGAAGACTGACCAAATGCTCGCCCACATTCCTGGCATGCATAGGGCTTCTGGCCACTGTGAGTCCTCGCATGTTTCCTGAGGGAGGAGGGCTCACTGAAGGCTCGCCCGCATTCCTGGCACACGTAGGGCTTCTCCCCAGTGTGAGTTCGCATGTGACTCTTCAGGGTCGAGAGACGACTCAAGACCTGACCACAAGTCCCGCACTCATACAGTTTCTCCCCCGTGTGTATCCTCTTGTGCACATTCAGGTGAGTGCTTGTCCGGAAGGGCTTGCCGCACTGGTTGCATTCGTATGGCTTCTCTCTGGTGTGGGTCCGCAGGTGGGTCTTCAGTGATGAGTGTTCTCTGAAGGCTTTCCCACACTGGCTGCACTCGAAGGGCTTCTCTCCTGTGTGAGTTCTCACATGGCTCCTGAGGGACGATGGCTGGTTGAACGCTTTCCCGCAATCCTTACACTCATAGGGCCTCTCTCCTGTGTGGTTTCTCTGGTGCAAAATCAGGTTAAAGTTCCTTGTGAAGGTTTTCCCACACTGGCTACATTCAAAGGGCTTCTCTCCAGTATGGGTTCTCAAGTGTCGCCGCAGGTTTGAGGAATACTTGAAGGCTTGCCCACATTCTTGACATTCAAAGCACTTCTCTGCAGTATGAGTCTTCTCATGCCTGATGAGGTCAGAGCTGTATCTGAAGGATTTTTCACATTGGTTACATGCATAGGTTTTATCCCCACTACGGATTTTCTCAGGCACGATTAGGTGAGCGCTCTGGAAGAAGGAATTTCCACTCTCTTGACATCCGTAGGGGGCCTCTCCAGCATGAATTCTCTGGTACTGGAAAAGTGGTTCAATGCTGTTAAAACATTTCTCAAGTTCATTATATTTCTAGTTTTTCTCCAGGCTGAGGTTGCTCACATCAATTAAGGAAAATGTGAAGACCAAAGACTTTATTGCATTCACAAATATTCTTCCCCATGCGAACTGATTATAAGAGACAGACATTTCTATATCTACCACTTTTACCGTTTTAGTGAATCTGTATCATTTCTACCCCAGACCATGGAACAGGGTGGATGCTCTGGTACAAAGAGCCATCTTTTCATTACTTTCATGGGCTTTTGAGATGCAGAGTTTTTCTGAATTGTTTAAGACTAAATTAAGCTTTAAACACTCAGTATCTGTGTCACATCTGTGAAAATGCTTACTTGTGGGAACTCTATGAAAACACAAGTCTTGATCTACATTTAGAATTTTCTGCTAATTCATGATTCACCAACTCTCTCCCAAGAAATTGCTTCTCCTGGGCAGGCACCACTTGGCTCGAATCTGAGCTATTGTGTTGTCTGTCTAACCTACAGCAGCCCCAGACTCTTCCTACCATAGAGGACCAAGAATAATCCCTGGTGAACCTTACCCTTTTCATGCCAATGGACGGAATCTCCATAAAAATATCTTCACCAGGAACTGACTCTCCAGGTTGAAGCTGAGGTTCTGAAATGAGTGAGTTAGGGGAATAATTAAGGACATAGAGAAAGAAACTGTGGGATCAAAGTGATGAAAAAAGTAAGCAAGGCACACCTGGATTCTTTCATTTTAAATATTGATCCTAAATATGGGGGGAAAAATTGCAAAGTGTAGGAACATATCAAAGAGGGAAGGGAAATTTTAAGGCATTTGGCTATGTGAAGCATTATGTAATTACAGGAATGGAGGGTGAAAATAGTAGATAATTTACTGAGAAAGGATTCTAAAAAGACTGTGACTAACATAAAGGAAAATCATTTGCAAGAATGCACAGTGGAGAGGAAGTGGATAAAATACACATGTGGAAATATTAAAGATGAAGAGGAGGCAGGACAAATCTTTCTATGCAATCAGAGTAAAATATAAGAGATTAAAAGGAAAGGGAAAGAGGAGAGAAGATGGAATTGACTAAGGGCATTCAGCCAAACCTCTCAGTCAAGGGCACTGAAAATGTTTCCCTGATTGATAATTTTCCAATCTAACACTCTTCTCACTGACCAGAGCTGGTGCTCACCTGATCCACCTGGCACTCACTCACCTGGACAGGTATCTGAGACGTCTCCTCTCTCCTTGGTCCACAGCTCTTCTCTTTGCTCCAAATGGGACAACACACAGGGTTTGCAGAGTTGATCTCCTGCTTGTGGGAAAAGACGCACAGTGTGGGTGGACTCTGTCCCACCGTGACACTGGGGCTGATACTCTGGAGTCTTTAGGGGCTCTGGAGACGGGAGCAGCAAAATGAGCCCGCCTGAATTCTGATGGACACAGCAAAGCTATTTCGCTAAGGAACTAAATACAAGTTCCCTCATTGGGTCCCAGAGGATATTAGCGCTCCCTAATCCTGAAAGCCCAGGGCCTAGCTCAGGAATATATTTGAGAAGCCCCGAAGCTTTTCACCACTGACAGAATACGGCAGATAGATCTTCATTTCCACGGAAAGGCCACTAGACTGCAGACACCACGAGTGTGGGACTTATCTGTCTTTTCACCTCTTGGCTTCCCAAACCCGCACAGTTCCTGGGACCCATGGCTGCTGTGTGAGTGTGTGGATGCAGCCACAAGGCCAGCCTTACCCACGGAGGCCAGGTTCCTGTAGTTCTCCAGCATCACGTCTCTGTACAAGCTCCTCTGGGCAGAGTCCAGACACACCCATTCTTCTGGGGTGAACACCACAGCCACATCTGCAAAGGTGACTGGTTCCTAAAACACACACCCATCCTGGCTCAGCCAGGGACCACCCCCACCAAGACTCAAGAGGACGGTGGAAACCAGCAGGCCTGGGGAAGGGAGGACCCGTGCAGAGGATTTTCAGACAGGCTTCTGAGGTCCTACAGAATCTGCCCCCTGGCTCAGGCTTCAGAAAGAGAACTCCTCTCTCTCTAGTCTCCACTCCGAGTGACAGCAGCAAGAGCCTATAACTAATGTCAAACAGCTTGCACTTCACGACAGGACTTATCGATTGACAACCTGCCAGAATGTCCTTGCAGATTTATACCCCCTCTCACTCCAGGGGCCAGCAGACCTGAGCACATTGCAGGCAGGAGAGAACTATCTGGCAAATGACTGAACTCTTTGCTCAGCAAGACCATGAAGACCACAAAAGAAGGACAGCTCACATCCTTGCTTTGTTTTCCCTCCTAGTGCTCAACAGCCTGGGCAGGGGTCTGAGTGAGGGGGTGGGATTGCTGCCCAGGCTGCTTCCCACTGACTGCATGAGGCCCAGAGGGTCAAGAGATTCCAGGCCGGTCATGGGAAGGCAAGAAGTCCAGGCTGTGGGCACAGCAGAAGGATTTTTTACTTACCTGTGAACAGGTGGTAAGCAACCCAGAAGCCATGGCTTCTTCCTGTGTGCCGTCCTCCTGGAGCCGGGCGGGGCCCACTGCAGGCAGAGCTAATGGAGAAGAGAAGAGGTGCGAGGGTCAATGCCCAGTCCAGTGAGCCACTCACAGGCCCAAAGGCCACCTGCCCTGTGAGCGACCACATGTGTGCATGTGTGCGCGCGCGCGCACACACACGGTCATGGTGGAACACACATGCAGAGAGGCGCACGCACATGCTTTTGCGCACACACATGCACACGCACACACCATGCACATGCATGCATGCATACACATACACACAGACCAGCACACAAGCACACACACAGACATACACACAAAGAGAAAGACACACACACACATAGCCCTCCATATCCATATCCCAAGAGCCACAGTCTCATGTCACCAGGAGACTCCAGAGCTCCTGTGGCACCCACCATTCCCCCAACTCAGCCTTGGGACAACTCTTCCTCCCCAGCTGCCTGCCCCTTCCTCTGCCCGCTACTCTGCATGGCTGGCATCGCCCGAGAACTCAGCACAAGCAGGGAACAGATGACCCAATGCCACCCTGTGATTCTGCCTAAAAAGGAAACGTCCTTCCCACCTGCCTTCAAATCTCCACTGTCACCCTTCGCCACGCACCAGGCATCCTCCCTCTGGCCTAGGACAGACAAGCGAGCGACTCCTTGGCCATCCCTGGTCCCCCTGCACCCTCACCTCCCCCTCTGACAGAGACTTTCCCCTCAGTACTTAAACCTAACCCACAGCCAAAGTAAGGGCCCAGCCCAGCAAGCTTACCAAAGATACCCTGAAGAGCAGCATGCAACCTAAACCTAAGAATGACTTCCTGTCAGTGACATAACACACATTCCAAACTCAGGAGCAGATGACATTTTGAAGAAATAAAGTTTATGACTCTTACTAGAAGGCAAATTGGAAGGAAACAAACATCTTCCCACTAAGGCTAAAATGTTATCTGTCTTCTAGAACTAACTTTTCCCCACTTCTCCGGAAGTGTTGCTGTGAACCTCATTTTTTAAAAGCTCAGTTAAAACCCAGTCCATTTATAGTAAATTCAATTGTCATTTTCAAACTCCCGACATAATTGCATAGTCAAGAATTTCATGTTGCCCAAAGGGAAGTCTGGCCTTTGCCGCAGTGGCTGAGTGGGCCCTTTCTTTTTTAACAGAAGGATCTGTGACCGACAGTGCCCGTCCCCTTGAACACGCAAACAATGAGAGGTGGCTGTAGGAATTCCCTCCTACAGAGCCACAGCAGTGCCTGCCGTCAGAGCAAATGCAGGTGGGATGGGATGCACGTTCCCAGGCAGGACACGAGGACAGCAGAGCTGCGTGGCACACGTGGCTCTCACTCACCAGAAGCCCCAGACACCCACGGGTCACAGTGGCCCAGCGTGGGCACCAGCATCACCATCTTCTCAATCTGCACAGCCACCTTCAGTCCCTGGACAGAGCGACAGGGGTCACAGATTAGCGTCAAACGGCCCGAGCCGAACCTGCTTGACTGGCGCAGCGCTGGGGAACACACTGATAAAGAAGGGGCACACCCTGCTCGCCTGCTGAGGTTTTCCTAACCTCACCACAACGCTACTCGCCGTCACACAAGTTCAACTCCAAATGGGGAGCAGAGAGGGGCCCAGGCGGGGGCTGGGAGGCGGCATACTCCGAGCAGGCTCCAGCAGGGCAAAGGTGTAACACAGGACAGGACAGAGGGAACGGCCAGGAGGCTGAGGGTAGAGGGAAGACGGGGCTCGGAGGTGGACAGGAATGAATGAGGGCAGTTAGTGAGGATGGGAACTCTTCTCCCACCCTCACTTGAATCTCTTTTTTTTGTTTTTTCTTTTGTGAGACAAAGTCTCCCTCTGTCACCCAGGCTGCAATGCAGTGGCATCATCACAGCTCACTACAACCTCAAACTCCTTGGCTCAAGCGATCCTCCTGCCTCAGCCTCCTGAGTAGCTGGAACTACAGGCGTACAACACCACATCCAGCTAATTTTTCTATTTTTTGTAGAGACAGGCTGGTCTCTCACTCCTTCTCAGGCTGGTCTCAAATTCCTGACCTCAAGGGATCCTCCGGCCTCGGCCTCCCAGAGCACTAGCATTACAGGCGTGAGCCACCACGCCTGACCTGACTTGTACTTCTAAGGCATCCCTGTGGCCTCCATGTCTAGCGTAGGGCCCAGGAGCCTGTCGGGCACAGTTCTGGAGTCCAGGAGAAATAAGTGTCTCTGGGCTGGGTGGTGGTGGCAGCAGGGATGGAAAAAGCAGGCAGAGGTAGGCTGAATTTTGGAGGAATCATGAGCAGGACTTGGTGCCAGGTGGGAGGTATAAGCAGCAAGTGCCTCAGGGGAGGTGACAGGTAGGAGGAGGCCCCTTCTCCTCAGGGCAGGACTCAGGATGTGCCTTCCAGTGTCCCTGTCCCATTCTCTCCCTGCCTTGGTAAGGAAACCCAGAGCCCTGAGCCAAGAGAGGTCTTCACCAGCCTGGACGCTCCTTGCCCAGCCCCCAGGTCACAGGACCTACCAGCTCCTGTCACATCCAAGGTCATGGAAGGGGTGGGGCTGGGGCAGGAGGTGAGACCGGAACATGAAAGGCTAGAGCAGGAAAGGCAGGGCCCAGGGTCCAGCGGCCAGCCCCTCACCCAGGACTGCCCCTGTGGCCTGCCCCCACCCTGGGCACAACTGCATGAAACACAGAAACAGACTCCACCCATCAGAGCCCACAGCCTGGGCTCCAGAGCCCACAGCCTGGGCTCCCTCAGCTCCCACACGTAGGCTCCAAATGCCCGCCTCCCCTCCCTGCCCCCCCCCCAGTGGCTGGCGCCCTCTGCACACCATCTCCCAGGCTTACCGTCCATCCCGCAGACCAAGGAGACACCTGGAGAGCTGGCCGGTCTTCTTGAGGTGACGGCGTCCCCCTCTCTCCCACCAAGGGCCCCATGTGCATATTCGGGAACAGCGCTGGCCCCTAGGAAAAGGCGCACACGGTGCTGAGCAGGTGAGATGCGGCCTGGCGGCTGTTTTCTGTCTGGGGGTCAGTGCCACCAGAAGTGGAGGCACATGGACGGGTCTGGCATCTGGCAGTGTCAGACCTGGTGACCCCCCTGAGTCCACAGCGGGCACCAGCCACCTGCCAACAAGGGTCTCTGAGGACTGATCACGCCACAGACACAGAGACGACCTGATCCCTTTGTGGCTCTGAGGGGCCCTGGAGAGAGGTTAGGCCAAGAGCCTCCAGAGACACCGCAAGACAGGTCCCTACAGGAAGTTGGGGCTGTCGTGGGGGGATGACCACGTGAAGAGGCAGCAAGAGGGTGGCATCTGCAAGCCAAGGACAGCGGCCTCAGGAGAACCCAAGCCTGGGGCCCTTTGATCTTGGACTTCCAGCCTCCAGAACTTCAAGAAAACAAATTTCTGTTGTTTAAGCCACCCGAAAACAAAGAAGAAAGAAAGGTCAGGAGCCCTTGGTTCTGAACCAACTGTTCTCCGTTTTCTTAGACTCAGTACTGGTACTGGTGTATCTGGCATCCACCACTCTCAAATGGTCAAACTAACAGCCAAAGCTGTTTCCAACTCCCCTGCGACCCGAGCTATGCTCTGCACCCCTCCTTATCCAACTCCCACACACCCAGCCGATGTTTGCCCTGACCTAAACCACCCGGGGCCAAGCACCTGGCAACCGGGGACAGCCCCTGTGCCCTAAGTCCCACCGGAATTAATCAAACTGGCTGATCCTGAGCTGTTTCCCAGGCTTGCCCATCCCATGTTCTCAGCATTTTTCAAGACATGCCTTGTTTAGACAGCTGGAGCTCTTTACGTCATGTACGTTGCTGGCTCTGCCACAGGGCTTGCTCTTATTCGTGATTTTCACGGGGCTTCTCTACCTGGAGGCATTTTTCTGGTAATTGTCAAGAAATAAATGGTATTTCGCATACTCAATGTCTGGCTCCCATTTATAAAAATGTTGACGTGCAGGAACCTTGTAGAAAAAAAGAATCTTGAGCGACAGCTGGGCTTTGCTCAAATTCAGGAGCCACAGATACTCCCCTGAGACACTGCTTCCCCTGCCTCAAACATCTCCCTGGCCCCGCTGATTTCTAACTCACGTATACCTCAACTGCTACCGTGGTAGGGAACCAAGGATAACCCCATGAATCTTACCATTTGCATGTCACTGCACAGTGTTTCTTCCAATATATCCTGCACAGGAGCCAACTCTTTGGGTTTCAGTTGAGATTCCCAGTCTAAAATGAATTTGGAAAAAAAATTAACTCATTTGAGAAAGAAACAGTGGGATGAAATTGAAAATATGTGATGTACGTGTGTGTGTGGTGTGCATGTGTGTATGTAGGCTTTTTTTTTTTAAATATTGACCCTAAACTTGGGAAGATACTGAAAGGGAAGAAGGCACTGTGAGTAGGGCTGTGGAGGAATTTGGGAGTCATATAGCAGTCAGGGAGAAATGAGAGGTGATTTCCTAGCTAAGGATTCTGTGAGGATTCAGACTGATATTGACAGAAATGGGGTGTTATTAGAAAAACAAGTAAGAAGCAACTAGACAAAGAACAGACACGGAAATGTTACATTTAAAGAGGAATTAGACACTAAGTGTGGATGAGGATGTGGACAAACCAGAACTGTCATCCACCACTGGAGGGAATGTACAATGGTGCACCCACTTTGGAAAGCGGCTTAGAGATCCCTCAAAAAGTTACGCATAAGAGTTACCATATGACCCAGCAATTCTACTCCTAAGTATATACCCAAGAGAATTAAAACCATGTCCACATAAATGTACACAAATGTTCACAGCACCATCATTCACAATAGCTAAAAAGCAGAAACAATACAACTGTCGATCAGCTGATAAATGGATAAACAAAATGTGGCATATCCATACAATGAAATATTATTCAGCCATAAAAATGAATGAAGTTCTGAGTCATGCTACAACATGGACAGATCTTAACAACATGCTAAGTGAAAGAAGATAGATACACTATAGTTTGGATGTGTCCCCCAAAGTGTTGGAAACTCAATCGCCAATGCAACAGTGTTGAGAGGTAGGACCTTTAAGAAGTGATCAGGTCATGACAGATCTGTCCTCATGAATGGATTAATGTCGTTATCATGGGTGTAGTAGGTTAGTTCCCATGAGAGTGGGCTGATTATAAAAGTGAGTGCAATCGTCTCTTGCTCTCTGGCCATGTGATGTGCTCTGCCATATCATAGCAAGAAGGCCCTTACCAGATGCAGCCCCTTGATCTTGGACTTCCCAGCCCCCAGAGCTGTGAGCCAAATAAACTTCTATTGTCCATAAATTACCCAGTCTGTAACATTCTGTTATAGAGCCAGATGCCAAAGGCTACATATTACATGATTACATTGTAGAAAATGCCCAGAACAGGCAAATCCATAGAGACAGAAAACAGATCAGTGGTTGCCAAGTGCTTGGGGGGGGGGGAGTGAGGAGGGACTGCTAATGGGGATGTGGTTGCTTTTGCCGGGTAATGAAAATGTTCTGGAATTAGATAGTGATGATGGTTACACAACGTTGTGAACCACTGAATTGTACATTTTAACAGGGTGGATTTCATGGTGTGTGAGTTATATGTCAATTTTTAAAAAAAAGAGAAACCTGAACAGACCTTTATCAGAGACTAAAGGAAAAGTATGAGAGGAGGAAAGAACGTGACCACAGAAGAGAAGCTAAGGGAACTTGAGAAACCGCACCCCAGATAGCCTCAGATGTTCTCTCAGAATAAAGGGCCTTTTAAAATGCTCTCAGCCTGACACTTCACTTCCTGGGGCCGGCCCCCTAAGCAAGCAGGTGGGGAGACCTGCGGCCTGCCTAGGACTCACCTGCACCCGTGACCTGGAGAATCCCTTGTTCTGCTGCCCTTGGCTCTGCTCTTGGCCCCAGCTGGGAGACGGGACTGGGTTTGCATGGTGGAGTTCCTGCCCGAGGAGAAAGATGCATGTGGTGAGGGAGGGAGGGCACAAACTCTCACCCAGCCCTGGCTTCCACATGGGCTTCAGACTGTGAGGCTGAGCAAGTACTATGGATAGTAAAGTGATCTCACCCAATTGCTAATAAATGATAAAGCTCTTTCTCAAGGACCCAAACCACAAACACCCTCCTCCCTGCCCCAAGAGCTGAGGCATAAGAAACCGTGTGACGCCAACCTTACCCCTGGAGGCCAGGATCCTGCAGTTGTCCAGTATCATGTATCTGCACAGGTTCCTCCGCGCACAATCCAGCAACGCCCACTCCTGGAGGAGCCCCGCAGCCGCATCCTCAAAGGTGACTGATTCCTAAAACAGCACACATGTTCCAGCTCAGCAAAGACCACCCCACCACTGTGTGGGACAACTGGTTATCACTGGGGAAGGGAGACCTGGCACAAGGATGTTCAGACGCAGAGCTCTCTATACCAAGGGGGCGAAACATCTGGCCCACCACCTGTTTTTATAAATAAAGTTTTATTGGCACACAGCCATATCCATTTGTTTACATATGGCCGTTTTTATGCTGCAATATTATACTTGATTGAGCAGTTGAAACAGAGATCATATGGCACACCAAGCTGAAAATGTTTTAATTTCTTTTAAGATTTGGACAAGCCCTAAAGTGTCAGTTTTGGCTCTCTTGTAACTCTGCTGATTCGTGAGGGTAGGGCCTTTCCTTCCCAGTTTGGAGTTCTTCCTAAACTGCTTGTTTCAAATTTTTCCTAAACTCCTTATCACTAATTTGCGGTTGACCTCTTACTCTTTGTGAAAGTTCCTAGGACGCCTCCCAACACTTACATAAGCATTTGATAATCTTTTATACCTATGAAAGTAGGACTTTCATTGCATTGAGAAACCAGATGGCCTTTTAATTTCAGAATTCTCCAGATCAACACTGTCCAATACACCTGTGACAATGGGAATGTTTCATGCCTGCACTTTCCAAAAAGGGGGGCAACTAGCACGTGTGGCTGTTGAGCACATGAGCAATGTGGCTGGAACGACTAAGAAATTGAGTCTTTAACTCTATTGAATCTTAATTAATTTCCATTTATACAACCACAAGTGTTTTCACCAGGTCTCACCAGGGATGGCTGGGATGGCCCTGGAGCAGCCTCACTCTGCAGGCAGACTCCAGAATTAAACACAGAGCCCCAGGTCTGCCGTGGGACCCTTCTCCCACACCAGTTCCTTCTAGAGGTCACGCATGGAAGAAAAGATGTCCTCCCCTTTCTTCCTCAGTTGGAGAGGGGTGGAGCAAGGAGAGGGGACAGGGCCCAGAGAACATAGTTACCCACCCCTCAGCCATCAAAACCCCCAATTTCCTCACCATGACACCAGTGCCAAGGTTTAAGGTCTCAGTAGGGATCTTCCCTGCAATAAAAGAGAGATTGAGATAAAAGAAGGGGGAGAATGAAAGCAGAGAACCAAGCAAGGGCTTGGTCCAGGTAATCCCATTTTTTTAGGTCTCCGGCAGGGTGGCCAAGCTAAAAACCCTTACAGCGAATTTATTTCAATAAGCAACATATTGCGCCCTGAGCCACCTTTCAGACAAGAGCACCTGGTGATTTCTACTGGCTCCTCCCACCTCATAAAAGGATCATTTCTCCTCTTATATTCCCTCAAAATATCTCAAAATATCTCTTATTTTCCTCCACTTCCCTTATCAAGTTGTGATTTTATATTTATTTGATTTTTGCCTCTTTCTCTCTCCAACTATGATGTAAACTTTATTAAGTATAGATCTGTGTCCATTTCTTTCAGTATTTCATATCCAGCCACCATCACCACACTTGATGAGCGCCAAGTACTTTATATATTAGAGGTTGGCGAACTTTTTCTGCAAAAGGCCAAATACTAAATATCTTAAGATTTGTGGGCCATGTGGTCTCTGTCACAAATAATTAACTATATAGTTGTGGTGCAAAAACAACCATAGACAAACATGTTCCAATAAAACTTTATTTATATAAGCCAGTACTGGACCAGATTTGGCCCATGGGCCATAGTTTGATGACCCCTGCTCATGTCATAGAGAGAATACATCAATCATCAAATTCTCAAAATTCTACCTCCTTCAGGCATCTCAAACATTCTAAATTTTCCAGTTCTATAATCATCAAGCCCCAACTACCATCATCCAAGTCCTGAACTTATTCATGAACTCTGCATGCATTCGCGTCCACCCCAAACTCCACACTCAATCCAGGAGCTAGTGTTTCCTTTACATCACAAACATAAGCATGTCACTCCCCTACTTAAAACTCTGATTCAATGACTACCCTATGACCTTAAAATAAGGTCCAAAGTTTGCCATGACCTTCAGGGTCCTGCCTTCCTCTCTAACCCGGCTCATCCACTCAGCACTTTGTTTACTCCACTTTTCCTTGGCTTTTCTCAGCTCCTGGAACACACCAGGCTCTGTACTACCTGAGGGACTGAGCATCTGGAATGTTCTCTCAAGTCTCTTCCTCAATCCTAATCCACAGCAAGACTCCGTGTCTAGCTACATACAACTCATCTTGTAGGTTCAAACATTTATCCCTTTTCAACTGTTTTCTCTGAACTCTTTCTCAAGTTCTCCTGTTCCATGTTTCCATATTGCCCTTGTCATTATTAATTTAAAATCTGTCTTCTCAGCTAGAATGAAATCTCCATAGGAGCAAGGACTATTTCCGTCACACTGTTTCCCCATGTACAAAGCCTCGTTCACTGAGGTCACCCCAGTGAAAGTGTGCCAAACAATCTACACTCCTCAAGAATAATTCAGTATACGGCCGGGCGTAGTGGCTCACGTCTGTAATCCTAGCACTCTGGGAGGCCAAGGTGGGAGATTGCTCAAGGTCAGGAGTTCAAAACCAGCCTGAGCAAGAGCAAGACACCATCTCTACTAAAAATAGAAAGAAATTAATTGGACAACTAAAAATATATAGAAAAAATTAGCCAGGCATGGTGGCACATGCCTGTAGTCCCAGCTACTCGGGAGGCTGAGGCAGGAGGATCGCTTGAGCCCAGGAGTTTGAGGTTGCTGTGAGCGAGGCTGACGCCACAGCACTCTGGCCCACGCAACAGAGTGAGACTCTGTCTCAAAAAAAAAAAAAAGAATTCAGTATAGCTAGCCTAAGAAGGCACATGTCTATGCACACCCACACACATTCACACAAAACAACAATATGACACCACAAAAATCAAATATAAGAATGACTTAAAATGCCTGCTCATCATACAATATAAATCACAACACTCAATTTCAGGAGTCTTTATGAAACAATACTGATTCTTTCTAAAAAGGCAAGGCAGGGCATGTACTCTTTTTAGAAACAAACCTTTCACTCATAAAACAGAAATCTGATGCTTAATTCTCCTCCAGAGTTCATTTTTTCCTCATTTCTCAGAAGTGACCTCTAACCCCATTGTTAAAAAGTGCATTCCATTTATGGCCAACTCAATTTGAATGTCCAGTACTAATAAGGGTTACATCATCTTTTTCCTGAAGTCCCATATGTTTTGAAGCTTACTGACTTGAAAAGCACTGAACTGTCTACGTTTCCTTGATAATAACATCTGCGACATAACTAAGAAATAGCTTTTCTCAAAATACCCTCACTTCACAGTGAAAAAAACTGATGGCCACAACAGCCAAAGTAAAAGCCACAAATTAAAAGATCTCTTAAAAGAAAGAAAATAAAGGGAAAAGAGAAAGGAAAGGAAAAGGAACAGAATTTATGCTAACAGATTTTAAACGAAGAGACTGCAAATTGTCAATCGACAACAACAACAAAAAAATCTCCTGTCATCTCATTCATCCCTTGACCGACGGTTCAATTTCTCAAGTAAACTTGTCAAGTCACCCAACCCAGCTTGCACACGTGCACCAACACTTCAACTTTCCAGTTGCTAAAGCAAGATATCAAATACCTCGCAAAATAAAACGCTATTTACTAATACGAGAAGTAGGGGTAGGGCCCCCCGAAAAAAATGCGCTTTCCCTACAAATGCGGGAGAACACATGAGGACTGGAGCGGGTGTCACCACACTCCTGAGCTGCGGGGACCCGGACTGTACTTGAGGAATTCCCATTCGACAGGACCACACACCTGTCTTCCCAGACCGGAGGGTTGGGGAGGGGTGTGACCCGAGAGCGAGGGCCCGGGCGGTGGGCGCCCAGACGCCAGGCCCTAGCTGCGCGGGCCTCACGCCGGCCCCCGGACGACCGCGAGGAGGAAGCACCTCAGCGAGGCGGCGGTTCTCGACCCTTCGGCCCCTCCCCGCGCCCGCCGAGCCCTCCTCTCCCTCCAAAGGGGCCGGGCCACACCTGCAGACCGGCCGGAGACACTCCCACCGCGGCGCGCCGCGCAGCCCGCGCAGCCTGCACCGCCGCCGCCGCCCGCCGCCGCGCGCACTTCCGCTTCCGGTCTCGGGGCCGCCGGAAACGGAAGTCGCTGGGGCTTGGGTTCTCGAGGCCCCCGGGGCGGTCTAAGACGGCGGTAAGAAGAGTAATCTCTTCTTTACCCGGCCTCAGAGCAGAAATTCTAGTTTTCTTCCGCCGGGGGCAGTGAGGTTAGGCTCCAGAATAGGGTCCCACTGGACCTGGAGGCTGCGACGGGGCCTATGTCCGAGGGACAGGGACAGGGGCGGGGCTTAAACCCGGGTCTGCGATGGGGCGGGGCCTTGCTGGAATGAGGGCGGGGCCTGAGCCTGAAGGGCGGGGGTGCGCCTCCTCCCCCCAGGCTCCTTACAGGTGCTCAGTATTTACCTTAATGCTTCTCTCCTTCCTTATTCCCCAAGCCCCTCCACTTCTGTTAGTTCTTTCATCCTATGTTAATTCCAATCAGCCTACAAAACATTTAGACCCCATACTCAAGGGGGTTTTTGTCTATATTTTTGTCTACAGTTGAACCTTGAACAACAGAGGTTGAGGTGCCACCCCCGTGTAGTGGAAAACCCGCATGTAACTTTCGACTCCCCAAAAACTTAACTGCCGATAGCTACTGTTGACCGGAGGCCTTACTGATGACGCAAATAGCCGATTAACACATATTTTGGATGCTATATGTATTGTATACTGTATCTCTAGCTCAGTTTATTGTAAGGTTGATTTTCGGGAACATCAGACCATAGCAAATAGGTACTCAAAACATATCAGTGTTACTTGCTAAGTTACACGGCAACGTCCTTATTTTTCTTCCCTGCCATTTTTCTATTCATTTTTCTATTCCAAACTTCCTTTGCACCAACTGATTTTATTCCCTAGAGCTGTTTCCATGGAAATGTACTTGTTAGCAAATAAAGGAAATCAAATTTTGTTAATTCCGTGAGTGTATCTCTTTCTCCCGTATAGCTCAACAGCAAAAATAAAAATAAAAAACTGGCAAAGGGCCGGGCGTGTGGCTCACGCCTGTAATCCTAGCTCTTGGGAGGCCGAGGCGGGCGGATTGCTCAAGGTCAGGAGTTCAAAACCAGCCTGAGCAAGAGCGAGACCCCGTCTCTACTATAAACAGAAAGAAATTAATTGGCCAACTGATATATATATACAAAAAATTAGCCGGGCATAGTGGCACATGCCTGTAGTCCCAGCTACTCGGAGGCTGAGGCAGAAGGATCACTGGAGCCCAGGAGTTTGAGGTTGCTGTGAGCTAGGCTGACGCCACGGCACTCCTCTAGCCTGGACAACAAAGTGAGACTCTGTCTCAAAAAAAAAAAAAAAAAAAAAAAAAAACTGGCAAGGACCTTAATAGACATTTCTCAAAAGAAGACCTACAAATAGCCAACAGGTATATGAAAAAATGTTCAACATTGCCAATCATCAGTGAAATGGAAATCAAAACCACAAGGAGCTATCACCTTACACCTGTTAGAATGGCCATTATCAAAAAGACAAGTGATCACAGCTGTTGACAAAAATGGGGAGAAAATGGAATCATGTACACCGTTGGTGAGAAATGCAAATTGGTACAGCCTTAGGCAAAACAGTATGGAGGTTCCTTTAAGAATTAAAAATAGAACTAAATTAAAAATAGAGGGAGGGGGGCGGGTATATACAATAAAATGAGTGAGATGTGCACCATCTGGGAGATGGTCATGCTGGAGACTCAGACTTGTGGGGGGAGGGGGGAAATGGGCATTTATTGAAACCTTAAAATCTGTACCCCCATAATATGCCGAAATAAAAAAAAAAGAAACTAATATCATGAATGCCATAAATAAATAAATATGGCATGAAAAAAAAAAATAGGCCGGGCGCAGTGGCTCATGCCTGTAATCCTAGCACTCTGGGAGGCCGAGGCGGGCGGATTGCTCGAGGTTGGGAGTTTGAAACCAGCCTGAGCGAGACCCCGTCTCTACTAAAAATAGAAAGAAATTAATTGACCAACTAAAAATATATATACAATATATATATAACAAAAATATATAAGAATGGTGGCACATACCTGTAGTCCCAGCTACTCGGGAGGCTGAGGCAGAGGATCGCTTGAGCCAGGAGTTTGAGGTTGCTGTGAGCTAGGCTGACGCCACGGCACTCACTCTAGCCTGGGCAACACAGTGAGACCCTGTCTCAAAAAAACAAAAATAGAATCCTGTTTCTGAGTGTATTTCCAAAAAAAATAAAGATATCTGCACTCCCATGTTCATTGGAGAACTATTCACAATCCCCAAGATATGAAACCACCTAAATGTTGACAGACGAATGAATAAGAAAATGTGAGATACATATATGTGTATACACATACACACAATGGAATATTATTAACAAACAACCTTTAAAAAGAAGGAAATCCTACCATTTGTGACAATATGGATGAACCTGGAGAACATTATGCTAAATGAAATAAGCTAGACACACAAATACTGCATTATCTCACTTACGTGCGGAATCTAAAATAGTCAAACTCATAAACACCGTGGGATAGTCATTGCCAGGAGCTGGAGGGGGAGGAAAATGGGGAGATATTGTTCAAAGGGTACAAAGTTTCAGTGATGTATGATGAATAAGTTTTGGTTATCTAATGTACAGCATGGTGACTATAGTTAATACTGGCCAGGTGCAATAGCTCATGCCTGTAATCCCAATGCCTTGAGAGGCTGAGGCAGGAGGATTGTTTGAGGCCAGGAGTTTGAGACCAGCCTAGGCAACATAGAGAGATTACATCTCTACAAAAAATATATATATTTTTAATTAGCTAGGTACCTGTAATCCCAGCTACTCAGGAAGCTGAGGCAGGAGGATCACCCTGGCTGACAGAAAGAGATCATGCCTCTAATTTTAAAAATACTATATGTATACTCTTATTTGCTAAGAGGGTATATCTTAAGTGTTCTACCACCAAAAAAAATGGTAAATATGTGAAGTGATGGATATGTTAATTAGCTTGCTTGTGGTGATTATTTCACAAGGTATATGTGTAGCAAAACATCAAGTTGTACACCTTCCATATGTACAATTTTTATTTGTCAATTATATCTCAGTGAAATTGGGGGTGAGAAAAGAATAAATAGGTTGGCAAGAGTAACCCCATTTTAAATGTGAGAAAATAAAGATTGAGTCAAATGAATCAACCCAACATAAAATTGCCAAGCACAATGTTCATTGGGAGAAGCTATTCACAATCGCCCAAGATATGAAACCACCTAAATGTTGACAGACGAATGAATAAGAAATGTGAGATACATATATGTGTATACACATACACCACAATGGAATATTATTAACAAACAACCTTTAAAAAGAACGGAAATCCTACCATTTTCGACAATATGGATGAACC